TGCGCCGGTTCACGCCGTCGTGGACTTCTACCAGGGTTACTTGTGATGGCCTGCTACCTTTCGTTCACCCCCTCCTCTCTCAAGTGAGCTCTCTTCACATCCAAAAATCCTAGGAAAGATTGCTTTGCTTTTCTTCTTTCGCCTTTCTCCAATGGAAGGCTGTCGCTGACTGCAATGGTTAGCAGTAGCTTCAAAGCTGCAAGGCTCGGCATGGCTGCGAAAAATTCGTCAAAACCTGAGCCTCTTTTGATCTCTTGTGCTACCAATCGACTTCTGTAGAGAGGATTGGTTTCATCTTGCTTGTTCACATCTACCCATCGAGTTCCAATGATTTTGGTTCCTTTTGGAACTTTGCTTCTTGGGATCTTCTCCCAAACTCCCATTGATTCGACAATGTCGATTTCATCTTTTCTGGCTTTCTCTACCTTCTCAGGTAGCAGCTCTTTTCCACTGATGTCATCATAGTACCACCAGTCTTTTGCCTCTTCTGCCATTTCTTCTGGCAGTGGGATCTTCTCTTCACACACTGGTTTCTCTGGGTCGATGCTAGATAGCACTCTCTCTCTGTCGTCTAGGATTAGGCTTTCTAGAGCCATCTCAATGCTCTGGATGTCTCTTGTTCTCTCGGCTTCATCTTCATGTTCGCCTTCTGCCTTTCTCTTCTTGTCTCTATCTACTCTGGCTTTTGCTGTGGGTGATCCTGCTGGTTCATGTTGTTCTTCGTGTTCTCTCTTTTCTCCATGTGGTTCAGGTTCGCGTGGTCTGCGAATACCTGATGCTGAAGCTGATGCTGTGCCTGGTGTTGGTGGTGCTGCTTCTGGTTCGTACCAAAGTTCTGTCACAATGTCCATCTTGTGCGGTAATGCTCCATTGAGTATCTCTGGTGGAAGGTCTGTTGTCATGACTCCACTCTCAATGATTGCATTGTTTGCATGGTTTCTTGTGACTCGGTGCCAGACGGTAGACCAATCAGGTCCTCCTGGCATGGTGGTTTGAAAACAGTAAGCTTCGACGTCAAGTCGTGCGAACACTCGACACGAATCGGGAACTCCCGATGGTCTTTTGCTTTCGTATCCATGAAGGATTTGAGGTCTCTTGCCACTGACGGGTTGTGGCATGCCAGTGATTGCCTCTCCAACTCGGCTTTCATGTCTTGCTACTCTTGGGTTCTCTTCTTCTTCTCCTCTGATGCTCTCTTCAAGTCTGTCTCGACACCTGTTGGTGTGATGGATGCCTGTAGATCTCTTGCCAATCTGTGTGGCATCACAAGCTGGGCAACCTGCAGTATACCCAAACTTTTCCAGGTCTTTCTTGGTGATGTAAAGCCTTCTCAGCTTTCTTTTCTTGTCATCCATTGCCGGTGGTTGCACCAAAGCTTCACCACTTGGGCTGGCAATGATTGGTTCCCTTGGGGCTGCAATCGCTGGTTCTTCGCGAATTGCTTGAGGATCCCAGGGAATCCCAGTGATCGATTTCAGCAACTCTGAATCATATCGATCTTCTTCTGGCTTTCTCCGAATGGATTGCACTGTGAAAACGCCACAGGCGTTTCCTACTATCTTCTCTGTGGTGGTGTCTTTCACTCCTAGAAAAATTCCTTTTGTCCATTGGGCCTCGAACTTGTGACCTCTCTTGAGGTATTCGATGGCCTCACCAAATGGTGGAATTGCTACTTTCCATTCACGTCCACGGAGTCGTGAATACGGAGTCTTTCCGTCTTGAAGTTCGGTAGATCGGAAAAACAGATTGTAGACTGTGGATGCGTGTTCAACTAACCAAGTCAAAACAGGTGAATCGTCAGGAAGTTTCTCACCATAGTTCGACTCGATTGCGGCTCGAAGAGTCCTGGCTTGTCCTTCCAAGGTTTGAACTGCTCGTTCAATCTCTCCCTTGGATTCTTTGACTCCTTTCGGGCTCTTCTCGATGATCAGGGTTCCTTCAAACCCATTCTTTACTGCCTCAACAACGGATGTGAGAGCAGGTTCAGGATCATGTCGAATGATCAGTTTGGAGTATCCTAGTTTCTTGATGTCGTTCAAAAGTACTTTGGATCCATATGGACCTTTTGTCACACCTTTGTAGGGCAACACATGAGCAAAAAGATGCTTCGTCCATCGATCTCTGACAACAAGAATTGGTGCATGAGTCTTCTCGTCCAAAACTACATCACCAGTTCGTGAATTCATGAAACAGTAGTCTACAGTCACTACTGGGGTTGTCTCATCGGTGTGGTCTATCTTCCTGTGGGGGTTTGCCTTAGCTTTTCCCCTTACACAGGCTTCACACCAAGACCTAAAAGGAAAGTGTGAAACAGCATGCTCTTCAAACTCTTTTCGCGTCGGGCGAATGGGAGCATGGATTTTGAGCTCAGGCGGCACTTCGTCGCCTGGCTCGGCCTCTTCGGCCTGCTCGTCCTCTACCGGACTTACCCATTGCGGTGCCGGACGAAAGGGTGGAATGCAAGCGGCACAGAACAGACGCCGTTGCTGAACGAGATCGGAATCTTAGTACCGTCTCGGGAGATCTGTCCACCAGATCCGTGCATCTGAATGCACCAGCCCTTGCTCATAAGGGCCCCCGCGGAGAGCAGCGGTTTTGCAACCGCCATCACCCGGAAACAGCAACGTCCATTGAGGGAGTTCTGGCCGATGCCGATGGTCACCATGGCATCGATCTTGCCAAGGTCCTTGACCACTTCGCCTGACGCAGTCTTGTAGACTTTGCAGGTGCCTTCAGTCTGGATAGGCTTGTAGCCCAATGCGGTGGCCAGTTCAACAGGGATGCAGGAGGTCGCGGCTCCTGAATCCAAGGTCACCTGATGAGCCATTGGCGTCTCCATGGATGCCAGCTCCAAACTTCTGAGAGCGAGTGGATCCTCATCGCCTTCATCAGGCTCGCTTGAGGGAGTGGGATATCGTTTTCCCTTTCCCTTCTTGGCCTCACGGGCAGCATCTTGGGTGGCCACGTTGACAGCTCGAGTCAACTGCACTTTCTTCTGCTTGCCCTTTCCTTGGCCCTTCTCGGAGGCAGCCGGAGCCGAAGCGGCTCGGCTTTTGCCCGGGGATCGTGACCGGGACTTCAACCGAAGCGTCTGCCTTGGCGCTTTGCTGGATTCCTCTGGCTTGGATCCTGGTCCACGGAATCGCTCTAGGTGCTCTTCAGTCGAGCTCTTGAACCAGGCCATGCGCTCCTCCTTGGTCTTGCCCTTCTTCTCAGGAGGTGGAGGTGTCTTGGCAATGCGCCTTTGCTTTGGCGTCTTTGGGCCAACCTCATCTTCCTCCTCCTGTTCTTCCATCATCTGCTGCATATGGGCTGTCATGTAGAAAGGAGGTTCGTTCTTGACGGTCTCAAGCTTTGGATCTTTCATCTTCAAATGCTTTGCCACATCTTCGGGCTTCAGATCCATGTCGGCATCTTTCACATGCTTTGGCGCATCTTTTGAAGTTGGGCTGCCTTGCTGTCCCTTGGCAGTCCTGATGCGTTTTCCCATCTCTTTCTGCTTGATCGTCCATTCCTTTGCCCACTGGTTGAGGACTTTTGGCGGGCAACAATTCAAAGCCATATGGTGGTTCCATAGGCCGGTGTCATTGTCACACCTCAGGGCCTTGTTGCACGCACGGCAGACCATATTCTTGCTGCCATCTCTGTTCTTGTGGGTGCATTTGGCTACCCATTCATCATAGCTGAGGATGCGCTCTTGGAACATGTGATCGAGCCATGGCACGGTATCTTTCTCTTTTTCTTCTTCTTGTCCATCTGACTCCTCGTCAGCTGGCTCAGTGCCATTCTCATCCTCTTCAACTTCACCTTCAAACTCTTCTTCTTCTTCGAGTCCCTCGATCTCAGTCACATCAAGGGGATTGATGTTCTCCATGACTGGAGCTGCGAAGGATGGTGCGCTTGTTGCTCCTTCGCCTTGGCTTTCGACGCGCTTCATCACAACATAGTCCTCTGGGTTGAACCCAGCTGCAGTGAGCGCCTTGTCGATGACACTGCGGGCTGGATGGCTAGTAGCCGTCCATGTCTGGCTTTCCCGCTTCATCTCTGCCAACTCTTGAGTGGAGAGATCCTCGATCTTGGGCTCCTTCTCTTTTGGCTTTTCAGGCTTCTTTACCTTTCCTGGCTTCTTGTAGCCACGATGCCTCTGGGCCTTTTCTCGACCTCGAGGCTGAGGGGCTTCATCAAACTTTCCCTCATCATCTTCATCATCCCAAGCTTGAAGTCGACCGGTACCCTTGGCACGAGCGATCTCATAGTAGTCGAGCTCCTCAGGGTAATTGGCCTCATGGTCGCGCCAGGATTCGAAGCGATCCTGGGCCTTGTCAACGCGATGTTGCTCAGCGCGCTGACGGCTCTTCTCTTTCTTCTTGGCCAACCTTGGGTCCATGCCTGATGCCAAATCAGCTGAGAGCCTTGGCGACTCCGCCGGAACCGAAGCGGCTCGGCGAGGAGTTGGCCTCTTCAGCAAGATCTTGGCTTCTCTCTCCTTTTCTTCATACTGTTCTTTCAGCCTCTTCATCTCGGCCTGTTGTTCCAAGATGGCATCATTGGCTGCTTTGCCTTTGGCTTCGGCCTCTTCGATGGCCTTCTGGATTGTCTCAGACTTCCTCTCATACAGCTCGCGATTGGACTGCATGGTCTCTTGGATTGCTTGGTTCATGACTGCAATCCCAGCAGCTGCAATTCCAGGACGACCTTTTCCAGCTCCTGGCTTCTTTGGCATAGCCTTGACTTCAGTCTCAGCTTTTGCCTTGGCTGCTCCACGAGAAATTGCTGCAGGTGCGGCTTTCTCCATCTCGATGGCAAAGAGGGTGGCGATGTCAGCGGAATACTCAGGCTCGGGTTGATGCTCTTGAGCCATAGAGGTTTCAGATTCCTCAACTGATGCTACCTTCTTACTTTTACTCTTGCCTTTACCTTTAGAGTCTTTGCCTTTGCCACCTTTGCCTTTACCCTTGGAGTTTTGGTTGTACCAACTACTCTTGCTCCAATCATTCTTATACCAATCGTTCTTGTTCCATGAGTTGTTCCATGACGAGGGATTGGACCATGAAGAACCTTTTCCCTTCTGTTTACCTTTGTCGTTTCCCTTGCCTCCATCTTGACTCTTTCCTTTTCCTTTGCCGCCTTTTGAGCCACCTTTGCCTTTTCCTTTGGCTTTAGCCAGACTTGCAAGTGAAGCTTGCATCTGGCTGGCAGCTGCGGCTAGTGCGTCAACATCCATTGGTGCTGATCCAGTCTTTGCTTCTTTTCGGCTCTCTATGTTCTCGAGGTAGGCCAAAATCTCTGACTTCATGATGGCATAGTCAGTGAGTCTCGAACTCTGGAGGTCAAGGTGATCTTGAAGTTTGGCTGGACACATCTGCTGAAGACAACTTCTTGCGATGTCATCATCAAGAGCTTTCTTCTTCCGCTCTTCATACTTTCGCCTGATGTTTTCCCAGGCTTCTATGCTCTCTCTGAGCTTGTCCAATGCACACTGTTGTGGGTGCAGGACCTTCTTCAGCAAAGCTGAGTTTGCTTGTGGGTTCTGTGGATCATACTTGGTGATCAATCGTCTCAATGCCTCTAGGCCAAAGTGCTGACCTCTGGAGGTATTCTTGACAATCTCGAGGGCTTCTCCCTCACATAGTGAGATCAGAGCCTGTCGGGCCTGAGCTGAAACAAGCTCGGCTCCTTCAGGATAATCATCTTCCAGAGATGTCTCATTGATCTCTGTGTCTTGATGCTCTTCGAGGAGCTGAATGCACTTTCCTGCATTCTTGTGACTTGTCTCAATCCAAGTCTTGAACTTGAAGTACCATGAATCCCAGGTACCTGTGTGTCCACTGAACTTGTCAGGCTTTGGAATGCCTTTCAACTCGGATCTGTCTCTTACTTCTACGCTAGTGGCTATGTTCCTTGTGATTGCCGTTTGTTGTGTATATGCTTCTGCCATTGCTCGTTGCAATTGGCTCTGCCCCTGTGCTAGGGCTTGCATCATCTGTGCAAATTGTTGTGCCATGTCTGTGTCTTGTGGTGCCTGTGCTCCTGGCTGTTGCGCCATGTTGACTTGCTAGCCAGGGATTGAAGCAATCCGGCTTTCCTGCAAGTGATGCTTGTTTTGTGGATCTCTGGTGCCAGAGCCGATGCAGCTCGGCGACCTTCGATTCGCAGACGGTAGCCGGGTCTTAGAACCGCGGCTCCGCTACCATGAACGGAGAATTTAGGCTCTTAAACTCTGTGACCCCGAGTCACTGTCCCAAAGGTTGTAGTAGAAGCTTAGGCACACTTTTAGCTCCACTCCAAGCGTGAGCTCTGGTAGTGAAATGAACACAAAAGTAAACCACAAACTTGAACAAACGGCTGCAGTGAAACATACATCTATACAAGCTATGTCATGTACATGTAACTGGTGCTACATCTGATCATTAATGTAATATTATATATATATAATATATATATTTACAATAAATATATACAGAGTCTCAGAGCTGAGCCCCTCCATCGTTTGGAGCCTCTTCATATGGGGGGTTGTGTTCAACAGCTGTCTATATGGACTGCGCTCAAAAGCCCTACTCAAAAAATATAGATATATAAACGTAAACTTTTAAGGTTGGACATGTGTTTTTAAGTCTTCGTTTAGAAGCGGGCCCCCAGCAGACTATGGTGATACAGCAAGGCAACGCTAGATTGGCGCTAGGTTGGCGCTAGATTTCTTCATAACAGTATGAGCAAGCAGGAAAAAGAAACTAGCAGAGAGCAGCAAAAAGAAGAAGCAAGACAAGACAAATAAAAACAAAGCAGCAGCAGCAGAAGAAGAAGAAGAAGAAGAAGAAGAAGAAGACAAAGACAAAGACAAGCAAGCAGGAAAAGTAAGAATCTGACAGGATCAAGAAATCGACGGAGATTTTTGCGCTAGGCTGGCGCTAGATCCGCGCTAGCACCGCGCTAGACGACGGTCCATTTCTTGACCATTTGCCCATCCAACATCCAAATCTTTTGAGTCAGCTTTTACATCCTTCCTATGTCGTCCTGAAGATTTCTGAGAACAAAAATGGGCAAGACCAGCAGCAGCAGTAGCAGCAACAACAGCTCCAGCATGCTCCAGCAGCTCAACAGGCCCCTGAAAAGGTCCGCGCTAGACACCTCTCACAGTTTTTGCAGTTGACATGCCTTGATGCTTAACATCCCTGTAGTTTGAGTGTGGTTGGAGTTCAAAGGAGACTTAGAAGCGGGCCCCCATGGAATTGCGATGAGTGCACCATTTTGGGAAAAGACATTGTGGAAACCAACCATATACATTGACTGAGATCCACTAGGTTCTTCATGCGCTTTAGAACCATGGCGTATTTGACTTAAGAGTCTGATATGGACAAAATATAAAGACAGAGATTCTAGTCATGCCACCGTGTAGCTGGTAGGATTCTCCTTCCTGTAGAACATCGGTCACCCATGGACCAAACCAGCACGAAATGTACGGCCTTGGTGGCTTGGTATCGACGACACTGGCCGAGCGTTGAAGCGGTTTGTTGTTGTCTTACTTGATGAAGCCACTCCGAACTTTGGACGAGTCAAATCATGCGATCAGTTGCTCTCGAACTGGGCCCCCAACCTTTCGAAACCGTGGTGCCCGCCCGTGGTGCTCGCGGTTTCGGTTTCGTGTGCAGACTTCCTCTGACCTTTGGAGTGCTGGTTGCATTCTGTACGAGATGTATAAACGGCAGCCGCTCTTTGCTCGCGATCTGCCGCGGCGCGTGAAGACTCTGGAAAGCCTCTTTGGTCGCCCGGAAGGCGTGAAGACCCTGGAGAGCTGGTTGGCCGAGTGGAGATCAATGGAAGCGAAGAGAGCGGGAGAGGGTTGGAACAACACCACCCCTCCACCAATGGTCCAGAACCAACGAAAATAATGTAGACATATGATGTAGACGGTTGATTAAACAATGACAGTAGACCTCCATTTGTTTATAATCAACAAGCTACATGAATTAACACACTCCTTTGGAACTCCCAGCTTCCACTCTTGAAGATTGGTGACATCAAATCAAGTCGACCCTCTACGAGGAGGTTTGTTCGAGGTGATTTGTCAGGTGTAGGCAGACACCAGAATTGACACTCCTGGAAGGTGTTTCTTTCGACTTTTTCATTATCGTTCCCCACTGTATACAGATCCGAGGTTCTCGTGCGACTATCATTGATGACAGTCCCATGCTATGGAGTCCAAATTCCTCTTGATTTGTGTCATTCTCAATTCTCAAGTGACCAAAGATGAAGCACTTGGGATTCTTTCCAAGAAATTACCGTCTTGCAATTCCCTTCGTTGGACTTTCATGGCCTGTCTCTTTGTTTGCCGTGAGTTGAGGCGCGCCCTGGTCTGATGTCACGGCAGCCGGATCCCCCACGCCTCCAGTGGATTGGCTCGCGTGGGTGCCAACAGCGTCGCAAGACGCATGTGCGTGGCTTGGGTTTCACGCGGCGTGGAAAGACCGTTTCGGGTGAGGTGGGACCTCTTGGTCACCCCTCGGTCACTCGGGAAAGGCGCGTGCAAACACGTGATTTAAAACTGCGGCTCTCTTTCTGTGTCATTTCAGGATTTGACATGGACGTGCCCAAAATTTTGACGTCAGTTGGGTCTAAGTTGCAGCACCGACAATGCCGCTTTAGTCCACTGAGGCTGCTTCAGCAGATGATTCATTGGGAACCCTCCCAGCGCTGTAGCTGCCAGGACTTGTAACGAGCTATATGACTATATTTGACTATATGGCATATCTCATCAGACTCTTGATTAATAAGCCCCCCATTTGAATTGGATATCCTCTTCATATGAGGGCTGACATGGAGCACGGCAGTTGTGGCCGGGTGTTGTGTCACATGTGGCACGGCGCACGGCAGGAAACTGCCTGCACTCCTCCGGTGTCCGAGACCAGACGGGGCTAAATTTGGAGCTGGTTTGGATTACCTTCGTTCAGTGGCAGATGTCAAGATGCCATCCCAAAGACGCCCTGGTTTGGATGAACCACCGGGTTCTCGTAGCGTCGTAGAGGAACATCGTTCAAATCGTCTTCCCAAGGATTCCAACGGGTCCTTTGAAGGTTCCATGTCCATTGTTTTCCTCTCCGGGTGTCTAACACATTCATGCCGTGGTTTCTCACAACGGGATCAGCCTGGCGGGTCAGATCGGGTCCTAACGTCGTCACTTGACCGACCTTCATGTTCACCTGTGGAGCGATGAAGCTCCGCGGTTTCAGAACTTGGAAGGTTCAATTTCCGTCCCCGCAGGACGTCGAAACGGATGGTGCACTGCTTCGGGGCCTACCCAAAAACACCCTCTCCCCGACGACAGAGAAGCGCCGCGGTTCGGACCATCCCTCCAAGCGTCGGAAAAGCGTCGGAAGCGCAGCGAGCGGTTCTCAGCTCCCTCGAAGCGTTGGGAATCTGAAGGAGGCTCTACAAAGCAGCTCCTTCAAAGAGATTCGAGATCCAGAGGTCCGTGGGAGTGTGCTTTTGGAAGTGGGAGAGGTTGGATGCGGGATCATGTGGAAGAATGGGGGTCATGTCCAGCATAGTGCAGCCGTTGAATCTCGTGGCAAAAAATACCGTTCATGGATTCATTAGCCATAGTCCAGCTATCTCACTCTTACGTATCTCTCTTCTGGAAGTGCTTTTTCGTCAAGGCCTTCAACCAAAATACTGTTCGCTGTTGCATTGCTCTTCCTTTCTCATGGTGTCCCTTGGATATCCGTGGAACTTACACGGGCGGCAATGCTGCAGCCGGCGTGGAGCAGGACTGCCGGAATTGCTCTACTTCTGGGTTTGGCCTTAGCTGGCTCTTTCGTTTCACTTGACGCGAGCGCCAGCAATTCCTGGCTCCAAGCTTTTTCTCTCCACCTGCGCGATACACGGACCAAGCACCATAATGCTAGCACTGCGAGCAGCGATGGCGGGAGTGGACAGATGACTTCAGACAAAACGGCTTCGAACTGCCAAGCGGCAAACCCAGCTGGTGAAGCTGGTTCTGATCCTTGCACTGCCCTTCTTCCCATTGACACGTGGGACAGAAGCGAAAATTGGAGTGCTGTGTTGTTGGCAGATGATGGTGCACATCCACATGCCCAATTTGGAAATCAGCTCTTCACAGCAGCCTTGTCGATCTCGCTTGCGATCAACCAGTCAGCCCTGTTGTTGGTTCTTCCAAGTTTCAGATACGTCGACTGCCATGCCTTCGCTCAAGCTACCATTTGAACCAGGAAATCGAAGACCTATGTCAAGGTTGCCATCATGGTGAAGCCATTTGGCAAGACCGAAATTTGAGCTGCAACCGAGGTAGAGGATGCCTTAGTCGTCTGACTGGACAGAAGAAACTAATCCATGGCCTTTCGGGCAACGGTCAAAACCTTTCATCGTGGGAAACTGACCCCATGAAGTTACAACAAACGCTTCAGGGCCTGTTGTATGCACCTCTACCCAGGACGGCGAATCCAGTGCGTTTACCCTGTGCCACTGACCTGGTCATCCATTTCAGGGTGTATGCAGGACATGCAATTTTTGACGGTAAAAGGAGACTGCTGACGCCGCCCTTCGACTTTTTCAAGTGGACCTCGGGGCAAAGGTCTTGACTGGGTTCGAAGAACTCCAAGTGCAGCTTCCCCGAAGAGGGCCTTTCAGGCATGTCAGCGAGAACGATTCTGCCTGGCTGGGTGACTTTGTGTGGATGCGTATGTCTTCTCACCTCGTTCTTTCGCCCAGCACCTTCTCTTGGTGGGCTGGCTTTCTGGGTGAACAGTCAAAAGTGTACGTTCCCATCCTTCCCGCCGAACTTCCCTTGCCTTGGTGTTGGATTTTCCCTCAGCATTCGAGCTGGGTGTTCTACGACGTTTGGAATCAAGAGGCTTTCAATGATGCAGACCAAGCAATGGCACGTTGTCTTGAATTCAGCAGCTGCAGGGAAGCAGACTGTCCCATGATGTCCTCTCTGTCTGAATTGGTGAAGCGATTGTATCCAGAACTTCTGCACTTGCAACCGAAGCTACAGATGCAGCACCTGGAAAGTCACAAATCCAGCCGAAAGGGACGGTGATTCAACGAATCGGGATGCCACACAAATATGCTGCTTAGGAATGCTTAGGATGTGTATTACAAGAAGATCTCAAACCCTCATTGTATTACAAGCTACATCAAGCTACCAGTTTTGCATATTTGTGCATATTTTTGCAAAAAGGACGCTGCATGAGTGGAGATCGTCACCTCACCCGAGATGATGCATGCACTGGGGGGCTGTCACAGCCACACTCACATACTAGCGTGGATCCAGTTTAACTATATAGACCTTGTCCTTGCATGTTCTTCTCCAAGGACATCTTGTCGACATCGTGCATCATATCATCATGTTCTGTGATCCGAAGCGGTGGCCGAGGGTTTCAATGGCAGTGAAAAAAAATCCATGCAGCGGTGCCAGTTCTGTCCATTTTTCGGGTTCCATGTGGGTCTTTTCCCGAGACATAATCCAATCTACCCTCTCAGCTTCCATGTGGGGACCTGCGCGTCACGGCTCCAAAAAGGCGCTGAAAACGCGCGGGAGGGTTCCTTGCAGTGATCGAACTGAAGAGGTCGCTCGTCCGTGTCGACACGTAGGGGCTCTGAAGTTAGGAGGTCCGGCATGCAGTTTTTCGACCACAGAGCCATGGAACATTGACATTCCATGGGGCTGGCATGGACTGGCACATTTACCGATCAGTTGGGGTGTTTTGGGGGGTCCATGTATGGAATGGGGTATATTGGGTATATTACATGGAGTGCTTGGGTAGTGGAGCCCGCTGTGGAACGACAGTTCAAGCGGTTGCAGCCGCAGCTGCAGGATGCGATGAGGGATGTTCGCCGCTTCCCCTTGAATTGGGCCACCCTAGAGACACTTGTCGTCAAGTCCCACGCGAGTTCTTGAGGAGAAAGACACCAGAACAAGACGAATGAAGACCTCAACACGTATGTGTATATATAATTACATATCATTATATATTGTCAATGGTCTAATTGTCAAATCCCTTTTTTTTGGGTTTTGCCTGCACTGTCTCCGAGGTCTTGTTGGAATGTTTGCCAAAGAAAACGGTCGGGAACTGACCAAGCACTCGTCAACCAACAAAAGACTGGGAAGATCATGTGCCGTTTAGGGCCCCAAGGGGACAGTGCTGTATGGCTTTCTCTGATTTCGCGAAGGGTCGGCGACTTCCACACTGCGGTGATCCGAAAATGACCGGCGCTTTCAGGACCTGGGTTCATCGCCCGGGGTGAATGCACTGACATCATCAAAGGAGCAAATGGATGAAGATGGATGAACATGGTGTCCGTGTTCATGGTTGCCCAGTTGGACGCCCATGTTCCGAAGACCGGTGTTGCCACCCACTTCCGGTCACTGTTCGTTGGGCACCGCCCGAAGTCGGCCCACGGGCGCGAACGTCAAAGCCGCGGACCAAGCACCTCAGGAAGATCTGCAGCGAGGAGCACCGGTGCGTGGATTTCTTGGAAGACGCTGAATCGTGGTCCATAGAGTCGCGCTAGCTGGCGGCCCACGAACATGGCGGAACTGCTGCCACGCCCGTTTTCTGGAGCTTCCTTGTGAAACAGACGATTTGGAGCGGGTAGGAGGGAGGGATTCGGAGCCGGAGGTATCCATATTCCATCATATTCCCCTTTTGGCTCCCGGAGCTACAGGACGTTTCCCAAGCACTGGCCAGTGAAGCTTGGATTTTGGATGGGAGCAGCAAACCGATGCTAGGAGCGCAATCTGTGCCGCACAGATGGCCAACAGCGGCTTATAGAGGTCGTACGCATAGTTCCATATTCGTAGTTGCGGGCATGCTTCTTGAATGCAAAGAGGGTATTTTCGCAGAAATGATAGGTCATTATGTATATTATATACTGTATAATAAATATATATATAGTGTTATTTATTATACGTACTATAATGCCGCGCATGTCCTAGCAAACTTGTTGTTTTTCCTATGCCTCTCTCATGTCTCAATTGCCCAACATGCAACCACGCGAATTGATTTATTTAAGCTTGTGTAACAATCTCCAATTTCAACTACATGCAGTAGATCCAAGCACCACATGTATCAAGATTATCAAGATAATATATAATCACAGGCCTTGCTGGCCGGATCTGGCTGGAACCCAGAATCCGGGGCTCGTGCTGAGGCTTTCCTTGTCATAGGCTGACTGAACTGCCTGCAGAAAGCCTTCAAGCCGTGTGACTACGTATGTTGTATGGCTTAAGGATCTAGCCAACCAGCTTAACTCATCTGAACTCCACCTCCAACTCACCAAACTCAACCCGAGAAAGCACCTGTCAAATTTGCGGACATTACATGAGGGGAATGCAGCACACCCGATGGGCAAGTGCAGATGATGCTCATCACAGGGGGGTTGTGCTGCAGTAGTGGGGACATGTGCAGGGAATGTGCAGGGACACGTGATGGACTTGACCAAGATTAGTCGGGCGAAGTGGATCTGTTACACGTGTTGTTTTGCCCTAACGGCCAGGGCGTTCAAGAACAAATGACACCAACATAAACCAACGGTGGCACTTTGCCTTTAAAGTCAACGATGCGCTTGAATGACCTGAACCAACATGGCAGGACCGAGTTCCACGGAACTGGACCGGAGCGCGGTGGAGCGATGGCGCTCGTCGCTGGGGCATCCCACGGGTGTGGGTTGCTTCCACTGATTGGAAGACGCTGATGAAGTCGTTGTCCTTCAGCAGGGGCGGCCAGTCTGCTCCAAGGATTCGCAGCCGGGCATTTCAAGAGATCTCCAAGCAGCACAGGCTGCCAAGGATTTCAGTTTCACCCTGCAACGTCCAGTCCGCGTCTCGGAAGGTCGCGGAATTGGAGACATCGTGGCCACATCCTATCGAAATAAAGGGACCGGGTCGATCGCCGACGCCTTGGCCGGTCGATCGCCGGCGCCGACCGGCGCCGGTCGCTTCCGGACCGCGGCCGAGGTGGAGAAGTCGATGCGCTTGGGCGACTCCGGGGTGGCCTGGGGCTACGTTTTGGCGCCCAGCTGAGGTCCAAAAAGCGCTCATCCGCTGGGGTGGAGATGGGGAGATGGGAAGCCAGTGGCCACGGTGGCTGCGGCACGCCAAGGACTCGTAAGAGGTGAGGTGCGTGTCTCTCGGCCTACTGTACTAGTATAGGATGAAGTCAATGACGCCTTTATACATGTGAAACCTTTTGGAATGATTTTTTAAGAATAATCCATAGACTTCCTATAGGCAAAGTCACGTTTCCCCTTCACTTTTGTTGGCCCTTGCTTGAAACGGACATGCAGAAAAGGTGGGGAGAGGTACAGGGGCAGGATGAATGTTCCTCCACTCTGTGCAGGTACTTGATGAGGGGCACCAAATCCAGAATCCCTTTTCCTTGCCGAAAGCTCTATTCCTTTGCAACTGCAAAGGCGAAAGGTGTGGACAAGCCTCTGCAGGTGTGGAAAATCATCCAGTCCGGCGTGCTCGCTGGGCTTCGCCTGTCACATATTATTGTCACATGCATTCACATGCCCTGTATCGTTTGACAATGTTTTACTCACATGGAGCTACTGTAGCTATAAGGCTTAAGTATTCGCATTCTTACCCTCCTCGTTCGCCAATAGAGATCCATAGAGTCATCAAGGCAGCTGGTCACCAGAAGCAGTCCTCCACGTGCTGAACAACCGAAAAGCTCCAAGGAATCCAACGTCCAACGTTTCCACCCCCGGCCCCCTTGGAAGGCTTTTTCTGATGGATCCAGACCCCGTCGACGACTCGCACGTCCGATATCCACCCGGCCCAACGGCCGCAGTTCGACCCGGCGGACCCCCGCGGCTCTGTCGGCTCAGTCGGCTGATTGGTTCCCCCCCTTTTTTCCGGCGGCTGGGCTGGTCACCAGCCACCGCCCATGGCGATCAGTGGGGAGTCCGAGTGCCGATGGTATGTTCTGAAAAAGGCGGGCGTGTGGGTTCTTCGGGGCACATTGAGGGTTTGGTGACGTTGGGTTCTGGATAGGTTTCGAAGTTTCATACATGTTCAGTGCTTTGCTGCCCTGCCTGTTCGGGCGGTCACTTTCCAAATTCTGTAAATAATGGACGGGTTCATTTCGACCAATGCTGTGTACGATCCAGCAGGTCAAACCGTCAAACGATCGTCAAACCTTGAACAAAAAGTTTAGATAAACAGCTAGAACATGCTAGAAAAGCTTATTGCAGAACATCTCGTGTTGTCTGACATGCATGAAGAGAGTGACAACTAGCAGGGCACATGCTTACTTGCCGTGCGCGGTGATCGAGCAGACGTCTCGGTCTTCTCAGAACCCTGTGGAGAGATTTGATTCGACTCAGAGGAGGGGTCTTTCGATTTTGGAGGGTCCAGCACGTCTTTTTGTTGCATTCGACTGGGGCCTGCCGGGCAACCCGTCCTAACATGTTTGACACCTCAACATGAATGTGGCTGCAGTTTTCCATTGAAAAGGACATGTTGTGTCCTTCATGAAGCCACTGTTTTGAAAAGATCACACGCCGGCTAAAACGCGCGCGATGGCAGAGGGGGACAACTGAAAGCTCCTAAGAAGTGAAGAAGTGAGTGTTGACTCCCAAGTGGGACAAGAGGTTGTAACATGGTTGTAACAAGATCGCTCGGGTCCGTATCCCAAACATCATCCCAAACAGCACAAATACGGCGAAACGCTGCCTGGTTTGGTTCAGTTCGCTTGGACCACTGGTGCTCCGGTCCAATGGCCTTGAACAGGATGGTTTTCTGTGATCTAAGCTGGCCAGAAGAAGGACCCTCGCAGTCCGATCTTCCGAGTGACCCTGGCGATCTCGGTTCCTGGACTGCTCCTTGAGGTGCTGACGACGAACACGCACCGCATCTCATTTAGTAGAGGCTCCGATTCAATTGCACATCCTTCAGAACCTTGAATCTGGAATCTTGAAGTGGGAAAACCCAAGTCCATCACGTGTGGTGAATGTGAATGATGTATTGCTCCCAAAATGGTCCTGCCGACCCCTGGCCAATGCGCACTTTGTGCGCCTGATGACACACACACACACACACAAACACACCCACACATAACACGCTCACACACGCACACTGCGCAGCGACTCTGAGGTTGGTGCGATGGAGGTGACACCGACGAGGAATGCGTGGCTCGGGTTGTCACGGAGGACAACGTGAGACCGTTTGACGAACTGTTCGACGGACCAGTGCTGGTAGAACGGGCTTCTTTTTTCGAAGAGCAGTATAGGCATAGGAGACTTACCAAATAAGATCCAAATAACACAGACACCTGGTGTGTAGTGGTGTGCAGTGCTGCACACATCTCTCGCCCCCTACCTGGTACCTGTCCCCTAAGCCACTCATGAAACATTGTAGTGAGCTGCTCTTGAGGTCATGGGCCAGGTCACCCCTCCAAAGAACATTTAAAGGCACAAACAACATGCGGACCACGGTGTGTGTTTTTTAAATATGTTTATTGAATACCCCTGCCTGTATCCTCTACAGAATGCTTAACACAACCTCACCTAGCTATCATTCAGGGGGATTTTATTCCCCACATCTTAGTGTGGGGTTCTTCTTTTCTATGTCTCATCCGCCTCCCGCCGCCCGCTTCCCGCCGCCTCCCTCCACACCGAGACAACAACACACACAGAGACAACACACACAGAGATCACACGCACACACAGAGATCACACACACCGAGACAACACACATCACACACACACAGAGATCACACACACACACACACCGAGAGAACACACATAGAGATCATCCTCCCTCCACACCGAGACAACACGTACAGAGACCACACACCGAGACAACACACACAGAGACAACACACACCAGAATTCGTGGCAGGCGCAGCACTTTGTGAACCTCCATGCTCCGTTAG